AGGAGTGGGGAATCAAACCCGGTTCTCCCAGATTAGAGTCCGCGCACTTAACCACTACACCAAACTGGCTCTTTGTGGTGTAGTGGTTAAGAGTGGTGGACTGCAATCTGGAGAACTGGGTTTGATTCCCCACTCCTCCACATGAGGCCATGTTGTGGGGAGAGGAAGGGAAGGTGATTGCAAGCCGCTCCAAGACTTCTTCAGATAGTGAAGATGGGAAGTTTTTACCAGGTAGTGTTCTGCCATGAAAAGTTTTAACTGCATGTTCCCACACACTGAGCCCCTCCAGGTCTGCTGGCAGCCCAAAACATATGATGTGTTCTGAGGTACAGTTCCTCCCAATTACAGATGTTTTGTAAAGGTACAGGCCTCCCACCACACATTACAAGGACTTTTCTGGGAATACTTCTTTCATAGTTGACGAAAGGAAATCCCTAAATGGTGACAGTTCGGATCATGCCCCATGAAAATTTTACCTACAGTGAAAACAAAATAAGGTAGGATTAAGAGCCCAACTGGTTCCACATCCTTTTCCTTCTACTGCTTTCAATTCACCATTTCCACTTTTTGGCCTATTAGCCTCATGTTGATCTCTCAACAGCTCCCCCTTGTACCCAAAATGTTCTGTCTTCGTTTAAATTGCAATAGCCTTTTCATGGAAGCAGAGGCAATATGAACTATGAAACCTGTTTAGCTATTCAAATAATTCCTTCCCACATCACTTTAAAAGCAGCTACATATACAGCTTTGTCAGCAATCAATAATTACTGGTTCTTAGAAAACAATTACTGTTTGACCTCCCTAACAAAGTCTAATGAATCAACACACTCTCTCTCTTTTGACAAGCTGTCTTTTACATTCACTTATCTGCCCTATTAACATGGGCCAGTAGTGTACTGCCTTGTGGCATATCCAAGGCCATTACATCCAAAGTCTCCTTACAGCTTCACATGTCCATTGGGCATTTACTCCTTGTCAGATATCAACATAGCTATCCCTAGTAGTGGTGAGACTAAGGTATAACAAGCATGAATTCTTCTGCTCCTTCTAGTCATGCAACATCCTACATAATTATACAGTCAAAGATTAGCTCCAATTGCCACCTCTAATTAGAGCTGCTTTATGATGATGGTCCTAGAAGGGCCATTGCCAAACAAATTAAATTTACTTCTTAAGTTTACTTCTTGCAATTACACCCCCTAGAGGTTAATAATGGCAAGTGCAGATCAGGGCTCTAATCCTGCAATAATTTATTGCCAGCCTCAAGACAAGGTCATGTTATTATTCAGGCATTTAGAATCAGAAGATGAATTCTGTACTGAGTTTTCAGTCTTAAAAACCCATCTCAGAAAAGTACACCATATTCTTCTGAAAGGCAACGTCCAGATGAAAAGGAGTGGAAAGCCCTAGCTATGAATTCAGTGTTCTCAAAGTGCAGATCTTCTAATATGTGGCTAAGTTATGTACCACTGCAGGTAAATTTAATAAAGATAGAAAAGCAGTGGAATTTTTTTTGGGGGGGGGGGGGAAAAGTTCTTTTATCCCTTTTTAGATTGCATTT